GTTATTTATATGTGGCCACCAGTGTTGCACTAGTATATTCTCTGGGATTTATCATTATAAGAATAAAAAACTTAGTAAAATTTAATTCCCACAATCTTTTGAGATTTATTATGAAACTAACTATAATTTACTACTGTGTTTATAAGAAAGTATGATTTAGCTTTCAAAAGTCCAACTTACAAATGAACCCAACTCATGTAAAAGTTGAGGTCTGCTTTCTTCACTGTGTTCTTGGCTGAGGTCTACAAAGAGCAGTGTAGGATAGCAGAACAAGAACATCTACTTAGGTGGTGAAAGACAGTACTAAAATCTTATTTATTTGCTATCTCATGCTTTGTTTTAGAGCTATGTGAAAACTTCTCCTCCAAAAAAGAAAAACTGTGTGTTCTTGAAAGTCTTAATTTAACACATCATTTTACAAATAAAAGCCTCTAAATTAATGGTTCTCAACTAGAATTAAGTAAGACTTTGAGCAGCTTCTTTGGTCTTACACCTAGAGGGCTGTGATTCTATAAGTCTGCAGTGAAGTCTAAAATAGCAGTGGCTTCCAGGAGAAAAGGAAAGCAGGGGTTGGTGATCTCAGCACTCTCCGCAGTTTGGACCAGTCTTGTGGCAGACCTGCTCTATCCTGTGCACTGCAGGGTGTTAGGCGGTGTCCCTGGATTCTGTCACTAGATGCTACAGCACATAGCCTGTCCCCCTGTCCCGGGTTAGGATGGTCAAACAAGTCTGCAGTCTCCAGATAAAGCCAAATGTCTCCTGGAGGGCAAAGTCATCCCCAGTTGAGAAGAAGGGACAGAAGCTGTCAGAAGATGACACATCCTGAGAAATGTTATCCTTAAAAAGATAAATATGACATGACAAAAATAGAGTACAGATATTGTATGTATAGGCATGACATATAAATTGAAATAAACAGGTTTCCCCAAAAGGAAATCTGATTAGCCCCTGTAAACTCCTGACAACCCAGCTAAGCTTCTAAGTCAAAGCTTTTCTTATGTAATTTCGACTTGAAGATCCTCCCTCTCCCTGGCTTCTATTTTAGATTATTTTTAATTAACTTCACTGGCATTTTGCATCCTGCTATGAAAAGTCCGCCTAATAGTCTCAGAGGACTCTCCCAAGAGAGAAGAGTGCATTAAATCACACATTATCACATTAAAGTATATTCCAGCACTCAGAGTCCAACTGTCTACATCTTGGCAAATGCAACGGGCTGGGGGCTGGGATGGAAACAGGCTCCAGTGAGTAGCAGTATCTAAAGCCTGTTAACTTGAATGCATCTATCGCCTATGAAAACGTTGTATTGATTCTTTCCTACAACCACATTTATCACGATGACATACATTGTATAATTTGTGCTTCTGCCTGATTTCTTGCTACTGACTCTGTGGGCCTTTGAGCAAGTCCCTTAAATTCATTGGTCATCCTTTCCCTCCTCTAAAACAGGAACAGGCTGGATTATTTCTAAAGATTCCTCCAGTTGCATGTCAAATTTATGAATGAAGCACTTAATTAAAAGGTTTCAAAATGTATGTATTCTAGAAACTACATCAAAGAATACCTAGATTTTCAATACTGCCTGAAGGTACAATCCATTTTAAAATGCTCAATTAAAAGAAACAATTGGAAGAACCACAAATAAAAAGACCCTATCCTCTCTTAAAACAAAAATTGTCATTCCCCAATTTCTCCTTCCCTAATCAAGGCCTTGAAAGGGGATTCACACAGGAATGTAACTCAATATTTTAGCAGTTAGTCATAAATAGCAAAGTAGTTTTAAATTACATGTTTGTTTTCTATTTTCAACAACAGAGATTACAAATCAGCTGCTCAGATGGCACATCCAGCAGGCAGATGTGCTTGTTTAGGTTAATCTAGACAAAAATTATACTTAACTATTTGCCAACCCTTAAAAATGGAGAAATGGTTCATAAAAATTCAGATTTCCAGTGTATCTTGAAGTATTAGAAGATAACCCACATTAACATTACAATAATTAGCCGCAGCCTTTGCCCTGAGTTCCTCAGACCTAATATTCCTTTTCTCCCTCTTTTCTGACTCCCACCCTGGTTCCCTCTTACAGCCTAGCACATACGATCTTATGTCCTTGCTCTACAACAATTTCTGGAACACACAGGAAACATGTTCCATGTTCTGCAATGCTTTCCAATACTAAAGCTTGCGGAATCATGATAAAAAGGTGAGACTTTTGAGAAAAGTAGAGCTATATTCTTTACAAGGTACACCTTAATGCTAAACCTACTCCTTAATGCTAAAATGTAGACTACAGGTTTCCAAACACCACCTAAAATGGTAAGATGAAATCTTAAGACTTGATGGAGAATTCAAGCTAGAGGATTCCTCAAGGCACTTCCAACTTTCAAGTCCAACGCCTTGGATTAAAGTATGGTAGCTCAATGTACTATATCTTTACGTATTTACTGTGCATATAAAATTTGACTTTGTAGGGGGCTCTTCATAACCTTCTTGTTTATGAATTTGTTTAAGTTTCCTAAAACACTGTTTTTCTCATTGACTTTAATGTAACAGAATTTTAAAATTACATTTCAATTAATCAAGCAGTGACTTTCTACAACAGCATTATTAAACTGTTCTTGAAAAGATCGTAAAGAATCAAAAGGCAGAAGTAAGAACACTAAGATGGGCATAAAAGTAAAACTGCTTTCAAGAAAGCTTCTTCACAAACATCTTTACCAACTAAACCAACCTGTTCCTGGGAAACTACACCCTGAACCTTCTTCCTAATCACTCCCATTTTTCCCCTTTAATTACACCTATGAAATCTACCTGCTTCAAACAGTATTTTAACAAGATACTAAGATTTTTTTAAAAAAAAAAATCAATTTTATATTAGACCTACAATTAAACTGATCTCTATTTAAAGAAAGTTTTGAGTCAAAGTTAAACTGATGCTGTAGCTAATGTCCAGGCACAACACAGCTGAAGAGTCTCCATGCCGAGAAGGCGAGTGTCATAAGCAGAAAGCATTCTCCTTCAGGCCCTGGAGGAGGCCCTGCTCCTTACAGTCAGATCACCTGATGCCAAAAGGCTGAGAGGCGCACAGGTGACTGAAGTACCACTCCAAGTCCTCCCAGCTGATTTTAAAAATGCCTATCATTTAAGTTGGCGATTGTACATATTAACTATTTCAAATCCAACTGCTTTCCTTGGGTGTCTGATGTTAATTTTCGACATAAGCATTGTTTAACAATAGTGATTAACAGCTCAAGTGGGAGCACAAACAGCCCATCAATGAGTCGATATGACTACTGAGGGCATGCCTAATGACAGGAAAATGATTGTGTTGACAGTGCAATGAGGAGAACATGGGCTGCTTCTGGGAAAACATATGTTTATCATTCTAGTTCTCAGCTTTTCTGCAGCTAATCATTTTTATTTTCTATGTTTAGCAAAAAAAAAAAAAATGAGTCACTCTTTCAAAGAAAATGATGAACGTATTTCAATTTAACAGCCCTGGATGCCGGAACATTTTAATTTAACCACGATGTTTTCTGCTTTTATCTACTGTGGCTTGAACATTAACTTCATTTTTTTTTTTCATTTCTTGCCTTCAAAATATCCCAAGTAATCAGTACACGATTATGGGGGGAGAAGAGAGCGATCAGATATGCTTATGGTGGTATAGGGCGGTATATTTGAGGCCTAGAAAATTATTTAATGTATATTAGCATCAGAACACTTTAGCTCAGAACCATCCTTAAAAGACTATGTAAGAGAAGTGTATGACCCTTGCTCTCAGTCAACAATGGAATCCTGACGCATATTACCTTTAAGAGGCACTAACTTGTTAAAAGCTTCTTATGGAAGGTTTTCAGTAACAGGAATATTTTCCTTTTGGAAGAACATTAAGTCGTTCATTCTTGGAAAGCATTTCTTTTAAAACATGTTTATTTCAAAACAAAACAGTCAGTGAAAACATATGCATGAGCCATTCCAAAGTAATTGGTCACAGAAACCTGGATTATCAGCCGGGTTGCAGAGGAGCCCTAAGAAACAGAAAGATGAAAAGGCCAGAGCATGCTTGCTAAAAGAGAGGCATCAGGGCAGGATCTGCGGAGGATACAAGCTCTGAAGAGACCTAGAGAAACGCTCAGAACGCACACGTCTAAATGTGAGACCAGGAAACGCACGTGCTTAAGGAAGAAGCCTTCCTGTCCTGTCACCCTGTTTCTCCGCTACCAAAAGTAGCGGGAGTGGAGGGACCAGCCGATTCCGCCCTCCTATCGGGTTGTTGATCTAGAGCCGAAATCCCGGGCGAACTTGGCTGGATGAGCGCGAACTGCGCAAAAGTTCCCGACGACTAGGTGGGAATCCGCGCCCCGGGCACTTAAGCTCCCCCTCGCCCCACCTCCCTCCAGGCCCGGGGACC